ACAGCCACTGCACAGCGACACAGAGCTACAGCCGCTGCACACCCCCAGTGTGACACAGCCACTGCACACCCACGCTGTGACACAACCCTTGCACACCCACGATGTGACACAACCCTTGCACACTCGCGCTGCACTGCAGCCCGTGGAGTTTCCCCACGGCCCCCCCCCAGCCCCCCCCGAGGCCCTCTGGGATCTCCTCGCCCAGCTGGGCTCTGCGCTGCCCGCCCGCTCCTTGCCTCTCCACGCGGAGCCGCTGCTGGAACCGGCAGCCACCGACCTCAATCTGACAGCAGGGGAATCCCGACAGCGGCCCCGGGGGGCTCCGAAAACCCCCAGAACGCGGCAACAACCACAGCAGCCCCCCGCCCTCCCGCAGGACTACCAGCACTTCCTCACCGCCGCCGGCTCCGACTTCCTCCACGCCATCTTCAACCTCGGCGGCGCGGCCGGCAGCGAGGAGCTGCGCGATGAGCACCCGTGGGGGACGGCGGAACCCCGGCCTGCAGCTCTGGGGACAGCAGAACCCCGGCCTGCAGCTCCGACACCCAAACCTGAGGAGCTGCAGCACCGCCTGCACCGCCTCTGGGCCGCCCTTCAGCTCCCCACAGGCGAGCGTTTGGCCATGGCCACCAAATACGGCCCGGCGGCCACCCGGCGACGACTGAAGGCCGCTTTGGAGCTGTGGGAAGAAGCAGCTGCTCTGATCCGCAGACGGGAGCGGCTGTTGGCTCTGCTGGAAGGGATGGAGCTCCAGGCTTCTGACCCCAACCGCTTCTTCCAGCGCCAGCGCCACCCTGGGCTCCCGTCCTCGGCCGCCCTCCACGGGGAGACGCGAGCGCGGCGACGGCTGAACGCGGAGGTGCTGCGCTGTGAGGAGGAGCTGCAGGGGATGCTGAGGAGGCTGAGGGAGGAATTTGGGGACGTGGTGACTCTGAGGGGACGCAGCTACGAGGAGAAGCTGCGGAGGGACCGGGGGGAGATGCTGTACCGGCTGCAGCAGGGCCGGAGAGCCGCCGCCATGGGGGGCGTCGTGCAGTCGGCGCTGGGGCGGCGGTGAGGCAGAGCTCACAGCCCCACTGCGTGTCACCTCCGTGTTCTGTTCCTACAAATGGAAGCGATGGATTTGGGGCCGTGGATGAAGAGCTTTCTTGGTTCCGAAGGAGAAAGCGGCGGTCACAAAATGGGGACGTGGGAGGGAACGCAAAGCTGTGGCCCTCAGACCCAAAGCCAAAGATCTTCACTAAAACCCTGGGTCTCCCCCCAAAACGTTGGGACTCCCCAAGACCCAAAGGACTCCCCCAAAGCCAAAGGTCTTCACTAAATCCTTGTGTCTCCCCCAAAACGTTGGGTCTCCCCGCAAAACGTTGGGACTCCCCAAGATCCAAAAGACTCCCATAAAGCCAAAGGTCTCCCCCAAAGCATTGGGACTCCCCCCAAAACATTGGGACTCCCCAAGACCCAAAGGACTCCTCCAAAGCCAAAGGTCTTCCCTACATCCTTGGGTCGCCCCCAAAACGTTGGGATTCCCCGCAAAACGTTGGGACTCCCCAAGACCCAAAGGTCTCCCCCAAAGCCAAAGGTCTTCCCTACATCCTTGGACGTCCCTCAAACCCATGGGTCTCCCTCAAATCTTTGAGTCTTTCCCCCCCTCCCCTCCCCCATCCCTTCTGTTTTCCGTTCCTACAAATGGAACCGACGGATTTGGGGCCATGCATGAAGAGTTTTATTGGCCCTAAAGGAAAAAACGGTGGCCACAAAATGGGGGGGGGGACGGGACGGGACACAAAGCTGTGCGGACCGCGTGTCCCCACATCCCCACATCTCCCCCTGCTTTTCTTTTGGGGTCACATCCCCACGGTGTCCCCCACTGTACCCCAGTTTGTTTTGGGGTCACATCCACAACATCCCCAGAAGTGTCCCCAAGGATTTGGGGCTCACATCTCCACATCCCCAGATGCATTCCTCAATGTTTTGGGGGTTCACACCCCAACCCCTCCAACATCCTCGAGGTTTTGGGCTCTCACACCCCCACCACACGTCCCCAGTGTCCCCAAACAGGTCCACAAACATGTCCCCAAATGCGTCCCCAAGGATTTGGGGTCTCACGTCCCCCCATTCCCCAGGTGTCCCCAAGGATTTTGGGGCTCACATCCCCAGATGCATCCCTCGAGGTTTTCAGGGTTCACATCCCAACTCCTCCAACATCCTCAAGGGTTTGGGCTCTCACACCCCCACCACACGTCCCCAGTGTCCCCAAACGTGTCCCCAAGGATTTGGGGTCTCATGTCCCCACATCCCCAGGTGTCCCCAAGGATTTGGGGCTCACATCCCCACATCCCCAGACGCATCCCTCGAGGTTTTGGGAGTTCGCACCCCAACCCCTCCAACATCCTCGAGGTTTTCAGCTCTCACACCCCCACCACGTGTCCCCAGCGCCCCCAAATCGTGTCCCCGCTGTCCCACACGATGTCCACGTCTCACCCCATGCTGTCCCTCACCTGCTGCACGATACGAGCACGCACGGCCCGCGCTTCGCTGGAGATCTGCACGTGTGGAGCCTGCAGGGGCAGCTCGGGTTCGGGGTCGGGCTCGGGGCCGTCGGGGGGCTCCAGCGGCATCCGGCGACGCAGGGCGATGTTGTGCAGCACGCAGCAAGCCAGGAAGATCTGACAGACCTTTTGGGGGGCGTATTGCAGGCAGCCCCCCGCCGCGTCCAGGCAGCGGAAGCGACGTTTCAGGAGGGTCAGAGTGTGGCGGAGGGCGGACAGAGCCTGGTGGTGCAGCGCGTTGTAACGCTCCTCCGCGGGGCCGCAGGGGAACAGGATGGGGGTCATCAGCCACGTCTTCAGAGGGTAGCTGCGGTCACCTGGGGGGGCGACCGGAGTCAGATTGGGGGCCCCATGAGGCCTTGAGAGTCGTGGGTGCTCCTTGAGGCATTGGGTGGAGCCCAGAGAAAAGGTCTTCCTGAGAGCCAAAGATCTTCCCTATGTCCGTGGGTCTTCCCCACATCTTTGTGGCTCCCCCAAAACTTTGCGGTCTCTCCCACACCTGTGGGTCTCCCCCACAGCCAAAGGTCTTCCCTACGTCCTTGGGTTTTCCCCACGTCCTTGGGTTTTCCCCACATCTTTAGGGTCTCCCCCAGACCCGAAAGTCTCCCCCACAGCCAAACTTCTTCCCCACGTCTTTGAATTTTCCCAAAAACTTTCAAGTCTCCCCCTGAGCCAAAGTTCTCCCCTCAGAGCCAAAAGTCTTCCCCACATCTTTGGGTCTCCTCCAGACCCAAAATCTCTGGGCCTCCCCCCTGTCCTCAGATCCTTGCATCTCCCCCAAACCTCTGGGCACCCCCAAAACTCTCAGTCTCCCCCCAAAC